TCCTCAATAATAAATATCCAAAATCAGAAAGTCGTTTTCCAAAACACAGTTCGATCAAAAAAGAGATAAGTAAACCAAAGTTCTTCTTCCAAGAAGTTTATCATTGTAAACGATTAAAATTCCAAATGCTTCCTTATTCTTCTTAATAATCAGACTGTAGTAGGCTTGTTCTTATTAATTGTCAGACTGTAGTTGGATTTTCTACCGTAGCAGTTCAATTTGATTCCAATAGGTGTAGGTCGAACGCACCCTCCCTTAGTCTAATATCAAAACACAATAATTCTAGGAGAAAGTGGTCTATTTATATAAAAGAAATGGAAATACAAACGTTTACCTGACAATTATTACGTCTTCCAAGTCGAAATTACTCTGATGAGTATCCGAGTTCAAAAGACTAGGTGAAGCTAGTATACTGCGACGATATCAAATCCAAAAATATGGCTGTAGCCATATTATATATCAAATTTAAACAACATGTGTACAGTTCAGAAGCAAACATAAAAACTTCAATATAAGTACAAAATATACAAAGAATAACAATATACAATGATAAAATCTCAAAATGGAATCAAATAAAATACCGAAATGTCAACAGAAAGAGTCAGTCATGTCATAACAAAAATATATAAACATGGAGGGATTTTCCGAAAACCAAAACATTCAAAAAAGATTCTACACTAATATCGTCAGTGACTCAGACGATACTTGCCGTAAATATCATTTATAACATAACTCAGATCATTTCACTAGAAGTGGCTCGGTATCTATCAGCTTGAGCTTGTCAATAAGAAATCTTCGATGGACCTTATCCGTAGATTTTGAGAACTAACATTCAGCTTTCTCGTGTGATCAGGGTTAGTGGTACACTTATTCATTACAACTAGAAGGTTAATAGCGCAGAAATGGCCCTTTCTAAAGCTGTGTTGTTCAGGCTAAAGGAATTTTACGGATGCATGGTTCTCGCTTAGATAGTGCTACTTAATGGATTCCGTAAACTTTGAGAAAAGTCATTACATTGGCCTCCTTCAGAAATTGGTGTGGATTTTGCAAATATGAAACTGTCCTGGACTGTACGTTAGGCTTGTGAATGTAAGAATATTACAACCCATTATTCCTCTCTGCTGCACTCCATAATTTGAAGGCTGTATTACCACATTTATTTCAGTTTTAGTGATTTGTGAGAATTTGTCTTGATTTACCACGGCGTTGTCTGTTCGAACATGAACGGTTGAGCGATCCTCTGTACAGGTTTTTGCTTCAGAAGGACTGTGAGGGAAGTGATAAACAACAGAGAGGATGAAGCTTCAGATCACAACATGCGGGTGACCAAGATGAAATTGTAATTAAAGAGACACAAGTCAGCCGGGCAAACACCATCGCGAAAGTTTAATACATCATTTCTCTTAAAAAACTCAACGAATTCAAGATATCTGTCATCAGTATGTTGCAAGTCTGTCGTGGAACATTTTTACGAAAAGAGCGCAATAGGTGAAATATAAAAATTTATTATTGTACCCAATTATTTTAATAATTGTTTTACTGTACTCCTGCTTAACTGTACTGAAATCCTTTATTCTTTCGCCTGATGTGTTGCTTACCTTGCTCCCTTACCTTGATGAATTTTTCTACTTTCAAATCACTCGCCTTGATTTTTTTTGATATCGTGAGAAGAGCATTTACTACACCTCGTCCTCCAGTCACGGCCTGCCTTTCGATATTTGGCCTTAACGGGATTTAATTTGATTATCTTGCGATTATTAGTCTCAGTCTGTTACAAGTCTTTCACGTTTCAGTGAATGGAGAGGAATCCACGGTGGAGAACAATAAGACGAACACGAAAGCAATACTTTCTACATTTTATATGGGTTCTGGGTCATACATAGCAACATCACAGGAAATGAATATCTATTGACACTCTACCCTACCCAAGAACAAGTGAAATCATTAGCTGATGAATATCAACCAGACCTTTGTACATTTACCGCATCAATTATTGTTATATGAAAACCTATCTCTACCATGAATCGTTTCTCAGTCCATAAGATGATTGTCGTAACGCAACCTTCGTAACTTGCGCCAATTATTCGCACTGTACATTACATCTTTAAGAATACAATGAATCTTGTGAAATGTTTCAGTAACTGTATACCGTTTTAAAAGAAATATGTTGCTAATCTTAACATTTTGATCTTGCCTGTAAATTGGCATGTCTCTTGTAACATGTTTGTTATTTGAGAATAAATTATTATTATTTTTATTATAAGACTCAAGAAATCAGGAACAAGAAGGCAGCGACCAATCACAGCCGAAAAAGGGCAGAGAAAGCAAAGGCACTGAAGCAGACAGGCAAGGGAATAAGAGCATCAGAGCCGAAAAAGGCTCCAAGGGAAGGAAACTTGAAAAAGTTGTACGATAAAGCCATGAAGCTCGCTGGAAACTGTTGTAAAACAGAAGAACCAGTGAAAACAAGGTATGCACAATAAGATCATCGAAACAAATGTGTAGAGAAAATTAAGCAACACTTGAATCGACCAGCTCCACTGATCCCAACATCAGAGCAGCATCCACGGAACTCAAAACAAATATCGATAAACGGCGAAGTTTGAAAACTCAAAACAAACGTCAAGATACTTCCACTGTAAGGGGCGAAAACTTGGAGAACCAAGAAGGCTATCGACCACAAGATGCATACGTTTATTTACAATCGTCCACGCAAAATACTTTGAACCCGCTCACCAGATACTCTCTGCAGTGGCATACTGTATGTGGCCAGAAACTAGATTACAGTAGTCGAACAAATTATGAATGGGTGCTGGAGCTAGATACAGAAAAACAAAGTTCTGAGTAATCATCCCTTTGTTTTATACGAAGAGTATCTGCTAAGTCATCACTCAGCTCTTCGCCCCTTCCTCTCTCTTTCTTTTCATTAGCACCTCATCCTGCTCATTAGATACTAGCTTTGATAGTTGCCATAGGTTCGGTTGCTTTGCCAGGAGCCACTAAATTACTATCTGGAGAATCGCAGCAAGAAGATGGTCACACGTTTACCTCAACGCTTCTTGTTATATGCAGGCCTGAATTAAACTTACATTGATTTTCAACCAACAGTGGCTCGCCGCAAAGCAACCGGCGTAACTCAAGCAAGCTATCGTAGTGCACATTTCAGAGTCCGAAATTTTATGTTAAAAACATTAGCTTTCTATAAAAAACCGATGTGTCTTGTGAAATATTTATCTAACTGAACAAACAAACAAACAAACAGAAAGTATGTCAGAAATTTTATTATTTTGATCTGACCCATCAATTAGAATGCCTCTTGTAACACGATTTTATTTGAGAATGGATTTTAATTGTTGTACAGGCCACACATTTTGGAGAGCATCTAACTGGGTCACATGGCAAGGCCTCACCTGAAAAGAGGAACACAAAAGAACATATTGAGTTTGGAATTGGAGACATACATATAAAAAATAAACGACAAAAGGAAGGCCCATAACAGAGTTGGTCATACAATACTGGTCTGTGAACCATGCTCCATCAGAGGTAACAGGCGTAAGTCGGTAAGTACGACCGGAAACAGTGACTGGGATTGAGGCTTCTGTAATGATGGATATTTAGTGAAAGAACGTTGATCAACGCATACTGAAATAAGCGTATCTTTTACTATTCATGAATAACGGTTTTCTATTTGTTGAATATTGACTGAAAAAGCTATAGATTTGACAGAAAGACCTCTAGCTTTATGAATTCTATTGGGACTATGAATTTATTTGTGCTATTATATTTGCCCACCTGAAATAATGTTTCCTACTCTACCTTATTAGTCATATATCGATGATATTATTTTAGCCATGGTTTACAGTATTTCAGTAGACGGGATTCACCTATATTTCAAAATCCTTTGAAGAATAAATTAAATCTCACCGGTAGAATAATATATCTAACATTCAAAATGAAGAGCCTGAAAGATCATTTGTTTTGGTTTTAGTCTCGTTCGATTGCCATTACAAGGATAGGTGTTACGTCCAGTTTTTTGCTCGTTGATCTTTAGAAGCACAGTTGTCGATCCATTTGCAATTCACGATTCCAAATATTAAACCAAAAGGAAATTCCGAAGTAGTTACCAAAGTTTATTGCCAATTCACAATGATCGACCAAAATGTGTTTATTACAAATAGACGACCAATGTCGTTCTAACAACAATAATTATAATAATTACAATTACCTTCTATTTTATGGGTTCTTGGAGCGAAAAACTGCAAACGAACAACCAAGAGAAACAAGAGTCCAAAATGGCCGAAAATAATTATTCAAACAAGTTCATAAGTTAAGTAAAACAAATGTACCCAAAAAACACAGTGAAATTAATGATATTTATGTAAAAAGGTTTTGATCAGCAAAATGTCTTCATTTCTCCCGTAACAATAGGTTCTGAACAGTCATCAATGCAATGTCGGATTATATTCATTACATAAGCGTTGGTTAAAAGAGTGAGATTTTTAACCAGGTGATGTCGCTCGTAATGGAAATTGGAAGTACAAATTCACAAGGTGACGGGGTTAGTAGTACGTTTCATTTTACGGCAACTGTTCTTGTGGTTCAGTGCAGTCTATGATCACTTTGAATGTAGGTGAAACAGTTTTAAAGAGGTGTGCCCTTCGGAGTGTTTACTATGAAGAGAGTATGTCCTCCCCATAATGGACTATAATTCATCGGTAGGGCTTATAGAGGTTTCCAGAACCTGAAGAAGCTAGTCCATCCACTGCAATGGTCCCAGAGGAAATTAGGATTGTTGGGGCTTTTTATAAACATGCAGGGCCCTGGATATTCCAAATACTTTTAAAATCTATTCTTCGTATATTATTGTAATATTTTTAGGCTAGCAACGTTGTCTTACAGGGAAAAAATGTATGTGAACTCAAGATTGAGGTATTCAGAGATGCTTGTTGGAATGTTCCAATGGTGTTTGTTTAAGTCGAGTACTTGTCAGTCATAGAAGGATGAAGCTCGTGAGGTGAGTGGGATGTTCTCTCGTCGTTTTTCTGTGTTTAGTTGTTTAGAAACTCACATAAACGTCAACTTTATTTACTTAACGCTATGGAAAACCTAGTCATAACTTAGCTACTATTAGATATGCAGAAAGAGATATGGTATTTCAAAAAAGAAAGAACTGGTAGGTCTCCAACCAAGTGGCTGAAGGATAACTCATTAGGAATCTTGCGACCCACTGAATGATATCTCTCCTGTTATCCGTAAAGAAACGGTTTTTCATAGGTTTCTCATTATGTTCATCTCTACCAACTCCTGATTCTAGTAACCTCATTTGATGGAAACATCAGCACTGATAATCAGCGATACGATGTTAAGGGGTTGATACCATTCAATTGCCCTGAGTTATCCACAGAGTTGACCCCCATCATCGTGTAAGAAGTTTGTTAGCTTTATTGGCTACTGCAGTTTGATGCATCTTATGCCTTTCCTCAGTGCATATAAACGTATTCAGTTTCTTACCAATTATGTCTATATATATTCACCCAATCGTTGCGCATAATTCGTTACTAGGAATCTCTGACACTTCAATGAAGGTTAAAACCCTCACAATGGAGCTTTCTACACATTAAACATGGTTCTTTAATGAACTTTTTTACCGAACACATCAATTCTCAGTTATATTTTCAGACCAATCACATTCGGGGGGTTGCCAACGTAGTCTAACCTTACTGACAAAAGTTATGTTCGACACTTAGCTTGCACTACTTATGGTGTCGATAAGGTATGCGATTACCTACTAGTTACCTATTCATCTCTACCAAAACCAGCAAAAGGTTAGATATAAATCCTAGTAGTTGGACGTAGACTGGTAAAACTGATCATTTATACAGTTAACTGTAGACATGTACTCATTTATGGAGCCAGCTTCCTTAAATTTATTATAATACCGTTTTATGTGAAGTACGGGAATCATCCTCTTGCTTTTGTTGCAAATAATTAACTAGTTGAGTTGATTAGTTCGTGTTTATTTTATACAAGGAAATTCCTTTCGTCCATATCGTCGAGGTCAGACTTTTAGAAGTATCAATCAATCATCAGGACTTGTTATGCACGTACATCAGTTCAAGTTGCCATACCACACTGGCACAGAGATGCAATTGTCAATCCAAATCCAATAGTGGCACAGATTGTAGCAGTATTAGCGGTAATGCGGAAGATTAGGGATCGAAAATATGATGTGGGTACTATATCCCAGTTGATCAAACTTAAAAACAGAAGAAAGGTCATGGGGGATTCATAACGTTGAAATTTGAGAGAAGACAAAGAATCGATGTATCTGCGCCATTGCAAGCGATTTTGAGCCACGTCATTCAAAGTCTAACCACCGGTACGATTGTCTTGCGGACTCCAACCAGGTAGTCTACACCTACTAACATGACTCATTCCAGCTGTCAGTGACTCCATGGGTTTGTATCATTCTTTTTTTAGCTTCTTCCAACCTCCTACACCACAAAACATCGCTTGTCGAAACAGTCGGTGGTTGAGTATACATAGTATGTCCAAGCCACCGCAACTTCATTTATTGATTTGCTATCCTCACCTAGAACCTGTTTCCTGACAACAGCATCGCTTACTCGGCTTTCCCATGATACACGAGCATTGCTCCTAAGGCATCTGTAATCGAATACTAATAACCTACGAATATTCTCAACTCATACCGGCCATGCTTCACAGCCATAAACTAGGACGAAGCGAACTGATGTGCAATAGACTCGTCCTTTGGTTAGCAGACGGATATCTCACCTACGCCGTAAGTGATGCAAGTTGGCAAAAACCAGTCGAGCCTTTTGTATCCGTTCTGAGATTTCGTCAGCCAACAGGCCATCAGTACCGATGAGGCTCCCAAGATATGTGAAGCGGTCGACACGCTTATTTGCTTCACTCCTTATCACTAGTTCAGGTGCCGACACAAGCCAGTCTTGAAGCGATATTTCGTGGGGGGGGGGACCGGATCTCAAACGTGCCTGCATTATTGCCTAAGTTGTTTAGAAGATTGCATTTTGTCAGCTTCACTGAATAGGGTTATGCCATCGACATATTCTGAGTCAACAAGCGAGCCTCTTGGTAGAAGTTGCACTCCTGAAAAGTCAGACAAAGATAATGTTTACTCTAAATGCATGTTGACTGGAAGTCGTGGGCAGCCGAAGTGTGGCTGAAGGTGGATTTAACTGGTTCCTAGGGAGTTCTGCCCATAGATCGAATCTCCTGGGTTGAGAATGAGTGATACGACCATCCTTTCCTGAGATAGTTTCGCTAACGGATTGATTCCTAGTACCAGTTTCCTTGGCAAGTCGGAACAATTGTCGTTGCCTTTTCCATCTCGCTTTCGCTACCCATCACTGTTCGCAATCATTGTGTAGGCTTTTTATCAACCTGAGCTTAAGCTGACCTTGCTTTTCGTTATATTCAGAGCCAGGCAGGATGAGTTTTTAAGCATCTATCAGTTCGGCAGATGATACTGAAATCCACGGCTTCTCCCTAACCTTATGGTTTACCTTACTAGCAGATATCACGGCTGTTTTCGGAGCTTTTTTGATATCGTTCCAAACTGCTTCAGTATGAGAATCACTTACATGGCCGCCTGACTGTTTTTCTAGTTGTCCCTGAAATATATTCTTTGCTAAGCTATTATTAAGTCGAACCCTTGGAGGTTTCCTTGCGGTGTCTTTCCTACGTCCAACCAATCAATCAATCAACAGCAACGTAGAACTTTGTACGCGCGTGCATCAGTTCAAGTTGCCATACCCTTTTAACACAGATGTAATCAGTCAGTTAAAACGTAGAACTTAGTACGTAAGTACATCAGTTCAGGCTGCCATACCACATTAGCACAGAGACGCAATTGTCAATTCAAACCCTATAGTGGTAGAGATAGTAGAAGTATTACTGGTAATGGAGATTAGGATTTGAAGATAATATTCAAAAAGTATAATTCAGTGAGATAAGTTTAGAAAGAAAAAGGTAGAGGTGTTGACGAATCCAGAAGATTAGGATTTGAGAAAACACAGTGGATGCACCTGTTCCATTGCAAACGATTTTGAGCCATGTCATTCAAAGTCTCTAACCATCGATTACTATCATCTCACGGGCCCCAACCAGGTAGTCGACACCTGCCGATATGGCTAAGTCCACTTGTCAGTGACTTCATGGGTTGTGCCATGTTTTGGTCTGGCCGCCCCAGCTTCTAACCTTATCCTAAACCACAAAACATCGCTTGTTGAGGCAGTCGGAACTCTTACTAGTCATGTTTCACTGCCGTAAAGTCAACCAGTGAATCTCCTGGTAGAGGGTCTACTCTTGAAAATTCACACGAAGATAATATTATGTCTAGAAGAATGTCTATAACAAAATTAAACAAGAACGGAGAAAGTGGACCTCCCTGATGGCTTTCATCATGAGACGTCATAACTCTTCTAAATGAAGACCTTATTCCCAGAGCATAGTTTATATGGTTTGAATGTTTATTCTTGTTGGCGTTTTTTAGCGAGTTAGTTTTTTGCGGGATGGGGTCGCCAACCCCAATCCAAACCTTCCTCCTTTATCCGGGCTCGGGACCGGCAGTAACTCCAAAGGGTCTACAGGCGGAGTTCTTTTCTACGTCCAGTAAGTCGCAAACAAATACATGTTCGCACTAGAGAATGATCTGAATCTAAACATGTGTCCCAGAATGAGTGACAGTCTTCTATTGAGCCTCTACAGCAGTGGCTGATAGCAATGTGGTCTATTTAGGTCCAGCGCTGCGATGACTTTGGGAGTCGCCTTATGCTTAAAGTTAATATATGCTAGAAATAACCGATTATCTAAGCATAGCTGTAGCAGACGGTCGCCACTATGTTCAATCAGCCGTGACACGATAAGATCCATCCAGGTATCTTTCCTTTTCACTGAGTCTGCCTACTTGAGCCATTATTAGTATATCAGAGCGACTAACTCTTTAGAGGAGGTATGAAAGCTTTCTGTAAAACTCATCTTTCACCTCGTGTGAACTGTAGGTAGTGGGAACGTAGGAAGGTACGACATTGAGGCAACTGCGAGCATCCCTATCTTCCCGAGTCCTTACTGTCCCGTATAGTCGGGCAGCGCACAAGCGACTGTCTACCGGGATCAAGTTTAAAAGGGCTAGATTTTATGTTTCATTGACCTTTTATTCAACTGAAGTTTTTTTAATTCTCATATCAAATGCCGTGACGAGTATGTTACTAGATCGTCCCGAAATGTACACCGCAAATACGTCACATTTTCCGAACCAACCACGTCTTCTGATTGTTTTATCAAAACTTATAAACAGTTTTAAATTTGTTTGTTTCTAGTGAAACCAATTAAACTAAAACAATGACCGTATAACATCCAGAAACATTGAATAACAGCTAGTCCAGTAATGGACTTATGTGTTTTTAGATGGATTAGTCCTCATATAGTTTTCTAAGTGTCTGCCGTTAAATATCATAGTGTATATAAACGTTCGGACATTTATTGACTTCAGAAGTTTCCGATGGCTTTGTATTCTGTGGGCCAAAATATTTAGTTGCAGGGCTTTCATCCTCATCCTGGATAGAATTTTCATACATTCAGTCAACCATAGATATGGATTCAATTGAAGTAACTTCAAAATTCTAGGCTGTAGAAACTAGAAATCCCAGGATAGCCTTCATATAAATTGTCAAGTTGTAGGCATGTCGACGTAAATCTAATGTATGTACCCTTATCAAAGTAATCAAACCATTACAAAACTGGAGGTCATCGAACAACTAGACACACAAAATTTTATTTTTAAATTAGGAGATTCTTTCTATTTGGTTTACTGAAATTTTGTGCTGTTTTATGTGTTACTACATGTTGATTCTGAATCAAGGTTTTTAAAGATAAACATGTTCATGGAAAGCTTACAAGTTTTCTTGTTTAGATGTTCATGTTCATCTTATGTGATGCCATGAAGTTTGCACATACATTTCTCATTCGAGTCGTAATGTACTCACGAGCATGAAGGTATCTGATTTTCTGTTTCCCTTCGAATCGCAAGCAAAACAAGCTAAAAGTCCCCCTTGTCATGTTTAAGCATGTGTCGATGATTCGGGACAATAAGTTTCTTTTAAGAGTCAATAATACTTCCTAATACAAGCACTAATGTACATTATTGTATTCTCAAATAATTTAAGGTTTCTTATGAAATTGTCCCATGAAACGGTAACCATCGAACTCAAAAATGGTACGCAGGTTCATGGAAGCATTGCTGGTGTTGATGTGTCAATGAATACACATATGAGATCCGTTACTTTGACACTTAAAAATCGGGATGCCATTAACTTAGACACACTAACTGTTCGTGGAAACAACATTCGATACTTCATTCTCCCAGAAAGTCTTCCACTTGACACACTTTTGATTGATGAAGGCCCTCCGAAAAGAAAACCTGGGCGAGAAGGTAACTTGGTGACTTTTACTTATTTTGGATCGTGTAATAATTTATTTCTTACTTCGAAAAGTAGGATTTTTAGTGATGTTATGAGCCAGCCAGTTGCAACGTAGAACTTTGTACGTGTGTAGTATGCCGATTTATTGCGTGTTCTTAAGCTCGGGTTATAAATCAGAACATGAACTCGTATTGATGAATACGTTTATTCGGGACACACCACAAAGCGAAGCGGAGAAGCAGTGAATATAACGAATGGGCGAAGCGAATTGCAGAAGGCTAAGAGACAACTCAAAGAGATAGAGTATGACTAAGAATATATAGTCAGATAAAAATAAGACAGACATGACATTCGAAATAGGCATGCACAGACATGAATAAAAGCGATGAATGATTGACAAGGTCAAATGACAAGTGGAACATGTCATGTGAGCTCATACAAACCAGACAATAATAAGAACGAATGGTACATATAAATTGTTGCTATACAAATGGCTTGGTTAAATAAATTAATCGAAAAGGCTTAACCAAGTTAGATGTAAGCGAACTGGAATATATGTGGAAGCACTACACGTGCGTACGTCATTTCAAGTTGCCACATCATATCAGCGCAGATTTAACGTTGTCAAGCCGAATTCCAGAGTAGTAGATTGTCACACGAACCCTAACCAGGAAGTCTACACGTACGAACATGGCTCAATCCAATTGCCAATGGCTTCATGAAATGATACCACGCTTTAGTTTTGCCTCCCTAGTTTTTGGCATACTCCACCAAACAGAACCGGCTGTCGAGGTAGTCGTTGGTTAGGCATACATAGCCACTTTGGTTAATAAAGGTTCACTACTTCGAATAACTTGCCATTCTTATGTAGTGTTTTATTATTAACCCTACTGCAAGTGAAGTGGTTGATGCGCTCAACTACTTCACTTCCTATCAGTAGTTCAGGTGCTGACGGAAGCCAGTACCGATATTAGTGTGGTCTATTCGAGTCCAGTGTTGAATCGATTTCGGGGGCCGTCGCCATGTCGAACAATGTTTTTTCTTTCTGTTTCCTTTAGCACTAAAATCACCAGCCACTATTACTACTTTACTACACCTAACGTTTTGAAAAAAGATGGAAAGCTTCCCGTAAAATATATTTGCTTCATCTGGGTTGCAATGAGTGATAGCGTAGACAAAAACAGCAAACCTCCCTATCGTTCCGAGTTCTTACTGTCCTGTTTAGTCGGGAAGTTCACAAATTAATGTCTATTGGGATTCAGTCTAGGAAAGCTGGTTCTGCTTAAATTTATGTTATACCTACATCAGCGAGAGCAGAGGCAATAAAAGCAGGCCTTGCAGCAACTGCAAAAATACTCCGCATTCTTTTCAGCAAGATTCGGGATCAACAACAAGTACCAAGAGACTGAAAAGAAGGATACCTGATCAAAATACCAAAGAAAGACGATCTCAGCAAGTGTGAGAACTACAGAGGCATTACTCTTCTCTCAGTTACTGGCAAAGTCTTCAACAGGGTATTGTTAAACAGAATGAAGAACTTCGTAGACGCTCAACTTCGAGATCAACAGGCTGGATTTCGTAAGGATCGATCGTGTACCAACCAAATCGCAACATTACGGATCATTATGGAACATTCAATTGAATGGAATTCACCACTCCACATCAACTTCATTGACTACGAGGAAGCATTTGACATTACGGACAGGACAAAACTATGGAGGCTTCTTCGACACTACGGCGTGTCTGAGAAGATATCCGACATCATACGGAGTTCTTTTGATGGATTAAACTGCAAGACCGTGCATAGAGGACAGTTCGCAGACTCGTCCCAAGTGAAGATCGGTTTCAGGCAAGGTTGCTTACTTTCACCCTTTCTCTTGTTCCTGTTGATCGACTGGATTATGAAGATGTCGACATCTGGAGGAAAGCACGGTATCCAATGGACAGCCAGGATGCAGCTGGATGATCTGGACTTCGTAGATGATCTGGCTCTTCTATCGCACACGCAATAACAAATGCAAGGGAAGACGACCAGTGTAGTAGCAGTCTCTGCAGCAGTAGGTCTCAAGATCTGTCGATAAAACACAACATGCGCCAACCAAGTCACACTTGGTGGAGATGCCTTGTAAGACATTAACACCTTTACAGATCTGGGCAGCATCATCGACAATCAAGGTGGATCCGATGCAGATGTGAAGGCGCGATCGGCAAAACAAGAGCTGCATTTCGACAACTGAAAAGCCACCATCCAAAATATACAAGTATTCATTAACAGTTGTCCACGCAAAGTAATTCGAATCTGTTGGCCAGACACGATCAGAAACAACCTACTGTGGGAGAGAACAAACCAGATTCCAGTGGAGGAGGAAATCAGGAAGAAGTGGTGGAAGTGGATAGGACACATTGCGGAAAGCACCGAACTGCGTCACAAGACAAGCCCTCACATGGAACCCTCAAGGTCAAAGGAAAAGAGGAAGGACAAAAAACATTACGCCGAGAAATAGGGAAAGACCTAAGAATGAAAAAAAAATTGGATAAAAGTGGAAAAGAAAACCCAGGACAGAGTAGGTTGAAGAATGTTGGTCGGCGGTTTGTGCTCCATTGGGGGTAACAGACGTACGTAAGTAAGTACATCAACAAGGCCAAGTGGCGTAGCAGTTTGGTCTCTAAATATTGTAGAGTAGCTCATAAAAGAATAGTTTTCTTTCATGAAGTTTGTAGTGATAAAAGAGATTTATATTTCTAGAAGATCTAAATAACTCTTCTGTTGCTGACCGATTTCATTCAATCACGAGGCCTTCACTGCATTTCTTTTTTAAAAGACAATTTTTCAACAATGACAACCCTACTAGTTAGCAATAACCTACCACATTCTCTATCGACCAAACGAGCGGTCATCCGTTTGTCGAGAAATTCTGACGGTTCACATCTGTATGCACTACACGCTGATAATGTTTTTTATAAAACCAGTGAAAGCTTAGTGATCAATACATCTGCCACAGACCATGCAACATTCAAAATTTTCTGTCACCCATGATTTGAGAACAGTATTGATTTTCTGTTATTTGAACTACTTCTATATGAATACTAGCTATTAAACTTTGCTTCGGTTTGAAATCTGTACGCGCTGAAATTTGAAGCCTTCAATATATGCATCTAAAAGGATTGTCTAAGTGGGCCTAAACATTAAAAAAATATATCGTTTGTGTGCAGTTTCCTCCCACTTATAATTCATACCTTACCTATCTATTTTCAGAACGACCGACCATTCGTGGACGGGGTCGCGGCCTTGTTCGTGGTCGTGGGCGTGGTGGACCCCGAGGGCGTGGTCGTGGTCCTCCGATGCGTTATTAAAACCTCTTATACTATGTATATGTTCCATTACCGAGTACTATCCCCTCAGTTTTATTTCAATAATAAAAGTTTTGTATAAATGATTTATTTCTTAAATGAATGCTAAATAAGCTTGGGTATTTTTAATAAGAGGGGCGTGTTATATCCATTGAAACTGGGTTACTATACATCCATAAAATCTGTTTTTGAACGACATTATATACATTGGGTTCTCCGTAAAAATTAGCGTATTTACCAAGTATTCTCTCAGTTCTGTGGTTGGCGCTTTAATCGATGACTGCATATGAAATGCGTATATCTGAAAATGGGAAATATAGAAGCATCATTGAGTGACAATTACTAAAGATACTAAGTATCCAGTAGATTCAGTTGAATCTAACTTTTCAAAATTATGCATTTTGTTCCTCAAGTTAACACACCAGTTACCGTGGACCAAAGTAACCGATTTATCTGGTCAACGAGAATTACGGATACTACATCCATTGATAATGCTGTAATGTCTCGAAATGGAGGGGTTGTTATGATGAGTTATTGTGTAGCCCACTCGTTTTTACACAAGTTTCAGGCATTGGTTTGGATTTGTGTCTAAATCGTACCTACTTAATTCAAAATCAAGCTCATATAAGTTTGTGCTACTTTAGTGCCGTGCATTGCGTGAAGCTCATGTAGCGAATCTAGGCCCAAATAATCTGCGTTGCGATTATGGCTGCAGCGTCCTAAGGCGGACATCTATGCGTTCAAAATGTGATTGTCATTTACTAACACCAATATTCCCAGGGATATTAGTATTTCTTCTTGGTTTTAAAGTGACAATCTATTACAAAATTTGGTGGGTTTATACTCACCTGTCGATTATTGGATATTATTCTCTCTGTATTTTGAGAGTTGAACTCTTGGTTACAGTGTTCATGAATTGTGTCAGCAAGCTTTTGTTTTTAGACTGTCCTTGGTTAGCAGAGTGTGTCATTAGCGAACCTCGGCGACTAGGAATAAAATTTAAACTAATCACTTCTACTGCTTTTTTCGAGGGACGACGCCGCCCAGAGGTAGTTATGTTCTTCCGAATGCGTTTCTTCTTTCTAAATAATTCACCTTCATTGCCATCAACTTTATTTCGTTTGCATGAGTTGTTTGGAGTTCTATGATTCTTTATAGATTCATGTTCATCTACGTTAGGAGTTGATTTAAAAATCTCAGATATTGCATTTGAAGCTTCCTTCAAGGCGAATTCCGACTCACTGGAGTCTATATCATCAAAATCATCGGCATCTGGCTGTCCCGTTATGTAAAAGTCTGGATCCTGTCAAAAGGTTAATGATAAAGATTATTATATTATTAGAAATTAGTCCCTAAAATTACTTGGAATTATCTCATAACATTACTACACTATTGAGACAAAATTGGAAGGTTTATGAATAAAATAATTCAGTAAAAACTCATATTTTGGTAGTTTTCCATAATACATATCTTGTATTTTGAACCTTTTGTTCACAAGTTATTTGTATTTTGTTCCTTTTCGGCCGTTTCGCTTCCTGAAGTTTGATATCGAATGTCAAAACCCAACCACCACACATTCACAATTGTAGGCGAACTTAATGATAAAAAGAATATTCCTTTGAAGATACACTAGATTATATCTGCTGTTTTCTGTAATTCTTTTGTTTCTTGATGGATTTGACTAGTTATATGCTTCCCAGTAATGATATTGTGTATCTAATCTATTGGACATCCATTACTGGGAACGTAGTCACTCTCGTTTTTAAACTGAGGCTCAATCGCATAAGAAGTAATTTTTCAGAAATCCCAACGTAAATAGTTAAAATGCGAGCAAATTGTACTTGATTTACGTCACTTAACTTACTTCATCAAAGTCTCCAGTAGTTATTGAACGTTTAATTGTAGAACTTTGTTCCGCTCTAAATGGATTAACATTGAACTGACCATTTAGGCAAGGATAACCTGATGTAGCCTGTGCAGATTTTTGAGGTGATGAGTTGCCTGATCTTGATATTGAGGCACAATTTAATTTGGACTCATAAGATATATCTTGAAATTCATTGTTCAAATCACTTAGAGAAGAATCGATACCTAGTTCACCTTGACTACATCGTTGCTTTAACTGTCTCAGTAAAATACAGAATTCACTGCGTAATTTTGCTAGTTTGATGTTATTGGCTGTTGTAGATCCAACTATATTTTTAGCATTGGAAGATTCCTCCAACTGTCTTTGGACCCATCGAAGTTGCTCCTGAAGCTATTGATATCAATATTTCATTCATTAGTAAAAGGTGATGCGTTATGAAATTAAAATTTTGAATAATTATTCAAAAAAAATCCTAGTCCCTATTTCATGCCATTATTTGTTCATTGAATAAACTGGAAATGTAAGGACCTGAATTTCAATTACATTGCGACAAATCTAAAAAAAATTATCAGTGTTCCGATTCAGAGTAGATAATGAATGAGTGCCTATCTAGTTAATACAGATTTCGAACTCCCTGGTTGATTACGTGAGCGATATTAACAATAAACTGTTGAACACTGTGGGTGAGGTGACATCAAATCAATCTTACTAGTACGAATTGTTTGTTTTTTGAATTCTTGTAGACTTATGTAATCTATTGTTACGTGTTTGTTTATCCACACTTATAATTTAATTTTCAAATCAATTCTACATAGGTTATTATTTTCCAGCACATTTCAATGCCATACAAAATTTGTATCAATATTTTTAAAGCTAATCTGTTTGCTATGCACTCGAAGCAATCAAATAACAAAAGAATATATGTCTGAGATGCTTCAGATAAGATTAAATCTGATTTTTTTCTCCCAATTATAATATAAACAAAATTTTAATAAGCGACGTCTGAAATGGGATTTATGTCTAGGTTTTACTATTTTATCTATGTAGGTTCACAAACATAATCTCAACCATTTCAATGTATGGTTTAGCTAACTAATAAATCACCAGTGTAAAAATTGAAAAAAGTAATAATATCTACAGTTTCAATATTTGTATACTTATAAAAGAATTATATTGTTAAAATCTATTTAAAAGAACTTCAGCTAAATCCATGTGTCATGATGAGTAAAACACATGAGTGATGTGTAATCAAGGCATTCCATGCTTTTAGCTTGCTTAAAGTGGTGTCAATGAAAATGAATTGATGTATACAGTAATTTTAGGGCAAATTATACTAATTTCTAATGCACTCCATGAAAAGCGGGACAGGTGACAAACTGATTCACAGAACCAGAAAGATTGTTAAATATTTCAATTAATACAATACTGATTATCTAAAAGGAAGATTCTTTCGAAATGTATTCATTAATGACTAGTAGAATATTAATGTAAACTTTATAAATTCTTTTCTTTAACATTTGCTTCAAAATTTAATATATTTACAATATGCTGGAATTTCTAAATCATGTTTGAGTTTCTGGTACTAAACCTGAAACCCTTTTTATAATAACATCCATATATTTCGTGATTGCTTTGGTGGTAAATATTCTAAATAAAATTACACCGGATATAGATAACTACTTTTAATAGTAGAAGTAGTGTGATTTTTTTATATTCGAAAACACATCCGTAGCATAGAAATCTTGAAAGCCTAATATTTGCAAAAATACAGGTACCACTATATGGAAGGAAAGTCATATTCAATGCTTTTGTGTAGTGTAGGTGTTGTTTACCAGTTTAAGACGACGAGAAGCAAAGATCTGTCGCTTAAGCCGGATCGGAGTGTTCGGAGTATCCATCTGAAAGCGTTGGAAAACCCTGATTCCAAACCAATAGTACGCATTGGCTCCTTGATCCCGACGAAACGACTTGCATATGATCCTATTGTTGGTCAACAGCTACCATTGAACTGCACTTTTTAACCTCCTGATCTACCCGTAACAGCACGCGAGACAAAATTGGTCAAAATCAAATCCTTTCTACACCCCCTAATGTCTCTCTTATCTCTACGACTAACTCTACTCACACTCCCTTTTCTCACTGCACCGCTAATGCAGACGAAGTGAGATCACGAAACGTCGTTCCTGGTCTCTTGAAACCCCGTTCCAGACTACATGTTGGAGCTTTTAATGTATGGACATTGTGTCAAATAGGGCAACAGGCATCATTAGCTAGGACTTTAGAAACTTGTGCCATCGATGTATGCTGCGTCTCGGAAACGCGCATACAGGATCCTAGTAAAATCATTAACCTGATTCCACCTTGTCAAAACGAAGAAGCAGCTCGATTCACTCTTCGCGTATCCGGTAGCCCTGATGCTGCTTACAGGGGTCTTGCTGGCGTAGGCATAGCGTTGAGTTCTAGGGCAGAATTATCTCTCCTAGACTGGATCCCAGTAGATAGTCGTTTGTGCGCTGTCCGATTAAACGGGACAGTAAGGACTCGTAAGGATAGGGACACTCGCCGTTGCCTCTTCTTCATATCTGCATATGCTCCCACTGACTGCAGTGCAGACGAGGTTAAAGATGAGTTTTACAGAAAGCTTTCGGACCTCCTCCAAAAAGCTAGGCTCTCTGATATAGTATTAATGGCTGGTGACTTTAATGCTCAAGTAGGTAGACTAAGTGAGCAGGAGAGACACCTAGGTGGATGTTATGGTGTTGCGGCTCAGAGAACAGACAATGGTAACCGTCTGTTGCAAGTATGCTCAGACAACCGCCTATTCTTAGCAAACACTAACTTTAGGCATAAGGAAAAGCATCTGTTGTCCTGGCGACCTCCAAAGTCGTCTCAACTTTGGACGCAACTAGATCACATCGCCATCAGCCACCGATGGAGGGGTTCGATAGAAGACTGTCGCTCGTTCTGGGGCACATGTTTAGATTCAGATCATGCCCTAGTGCGAGCGCGTATCTGTTTGAAGCTTACTGGGCGTAGGAAAAACACCGTAAGAAAGCCTCTTAGGGTTTTACTTAATGATAATAAGGCGAAGAATATATTTCAGGAACAACTAGAAAGACAGTTAGTCGACCATTTAAGCGATTCCCATCCGGAGGCAGGTTGGAATGATATCAAGAAGGCTGTGGAAACAGCAGTGATATCTGCTAGTAAGGTAAACCATAAGGCTAGGATGAAGCCGTGGATATCAGTCGCATCTACTGAACTGATGGATGCTCGAAAACGCATCCCACCTGACTCTGAGCATGGTGAAGAGTGTAGTCAACTTAGGCGCAGACTTATAAAAAGCCTACGTAACGACCGCGAACAGTGGTGGGCGGCGAAAGCGAAGGCGATGGAAAAGGCAGCGGCGATCGGCAACAGTAGGCAACTTTTCCGCCTTATTAAAGAGACTGGTATTAATCACCCGAACGTGAGTGAGACTATCTCAGAAAAGGATGGTCTTATTATCCATTCACAATCCAGGAGACTGTATCGATGGGTAGAACACTTTAGGGATCAGTTCAACTGGCCACGAGCCACTCTTCGGTTACCCACGATCTCCAGTCATCCTGAATGGCAAATCGACGTAAGTCCCCCTAGTCTTAATGACGTTGAGAAAGCGTTAGGAAATCTGAAACGAGGACGAGCTGCAGGTCCTGATAGACTGACCCTTGAGATATTTAAGGATGGTGGTCCAGTTTTAGCAGCTAGGTTGACTGAGATGTTAGGTAGAATCTGAGAACTGGACGCAATCCCATCCGAGTGGTCCCAATCTATAAGAAAGGACAAAAGTCTTCTTGTGACAATCACAGGGGAATAAGTCTAACTAATATAGTATCTAAAATATTGGCCTCAATAATACTTCGACGCTTAACGAAAGCTCGTGAAGAGCAGACTCGAGAAAACCAGGCTGGTTTTCGACCTGGACGCGGTTGTATAGACCACATCTTCACACTCAGACAGGTCCTCGAACACAGACACACATTTAGGCGTCCTACAATAGTTGTTTTCCTGGACCTCAAGGCGGCATTTGACTCAGTGGATCGTGAGGTTCTGTGGCAGTGTCTGTCATTGAAAGGTGTACCAAAGAAGTACATTAACCTTATACAAGCTCTTTACTCGAACACCACTGGTCGAGTGAGGACTTATGGCGAACTGTCACCGGAATTCTTTACGTCAAGTGGTGTCCATCAGGGATGTCCACTTTCGCCATTCTTGTTTAGTGTTATCATAGACATGCTCCTAGAAATAACCTTATCCTCATCTGAATTTTCTGGAGTAGATCTTCTACCAGGTGGCTCGCTTATTGACTTAGAATATGCCGATGACATTGTCCTACTTGGTGAAGACACTGACAAAATGCAGAGTCTTCTGTCTACCCTAAGCAACAATGCAAGCATGTTCGGGATGCGGTTTTCCCCCTCGAAATGCAAAATGTTGCTTCAAGACTGGGTTACATCGGAACCTGAATTAGTGATAGGGAGTGAAGTAGTTGAGCGTGTAGACCGCTTCACTTATCTTGGGAGTCTCATCAGTGCCGATGGCCTGGTGACTGACGAAATCTCAGCTCGGATACAGAAGGCTCGATTGGCTTTTGCCAACCTGCGTCACTTATGGCGTAGGCGTGATATCCGTTCTCTAATCAAAGGACGAGTGTATTGTGCAGCAGTTCGCTCCGTTCTCCTACATGGCTGTGAAACATGGCCAGTGAGAGTAGAAGATATTCGTAGGTTACTGGTTTTCGATCATAGGTGTCTTCGAAGCATTGCTCGTATACCGTGGGACAACCGAATAAGCAATGCTGTCGTTAGGAAACGGGTGCTAGGCAAGGATGGCAGATCAATCGATGAAGTGGTGAAACTTCATCAGTTGAGGTGGTTGGGACATATCTTGCGTATGCCTAACCACCGACTGCCTCGACGAACTTTGTTTTGTAGTGTAAGAGTAGGTTGGAAGAAAGCTAGGGGCGGCCAAATCAAAACATGGCAGAAATCCATGAAGTCATTGACTAGTGGACTGAGCCATGTCGGTAATTGTCGACTACCTGGTTGTGATCCGTGAGATGATAATAATCGATGGTTAGAGACCTTGAATGACATGGCTCAAAATCGTTCGCAATGGCGCCGGTGCATTTATTCTTTGTGTTCTCTCAAACCCGAATCTTCTGGATTCTTCAACACCTCTAGTTTCGACTATCTAAACTTTTCTCACTGAATCATACTTCTTGAATAGTATCTTCTAACCCTAACCTCTCCGATTACTTCTAAACCCCTTACTACCTCTTCTACTATTGGATTTGAATTGACAATTATATCTCTGTGCTGATGTGGTGTGGCAACATGAACTGATGTACTTACGTACGAAGTTCTACGTTGCATCTGACTGACTGACTGACTTGCGATGATCCGTGGATGATGGCTGTCTAAGAGTCTTATACTAGAACAAAGCAATTATGCAATAAGTTCCCGGTTTTCAATAGTTGTCTGATTAAGATTAGTGCATAATGTACTACTGAAAAATTTACTTATCTCTATAACCACATAACTAACAAACAACATATCTACCAACATCGAATAATAGACTAACCTGTTCAATAGGTTGACCAACTTGATAAAATTGGATTGATTTACTTCCATCTGATGAGCATAACCGAGACTGATTTTTATTAATGCTATTATTCGATTCAATATATTGACTAACAATAGAATTATGTGACGAGTATTCTGAATTTAATTGTCTACATGATAAGATTTCGTCTTTAGATGAGTTTATTTCATCTGTTACATTAGTAGATGAATTGTTAGTTGGCATATTAACTGGCGATGAAGAAAACGAAGCAGTGGTAGAAGTGTTTGTTTGTTCATTTGTTTTTGACATCTCATTATGCAATACTAGACTTGGATTTAATGATGGACTCATACTAATTGCAGACAATGCAGATACAGACGACGATTCAGTACTTGAACTATGACGCAACCAACGGCTAGTCATACTGGGTACATGACGTCCAGAAAGTAGTTGACACATTTTATTAAGCTAGTAAATAAATAAAGATATATTCAAAAAGAAATTTAAATAAAACAAACGTATGAATATTTATTCATTTTCTCATTGTTTCTAATGGAAAGTGAAATAATGTAGATAGAATGGTAATCTGTAAAAAATGTTTTTGTTTAAAAACATTACACAACTTCAGTTAGTATGCAATATTATACAACACGATTACCCAACGAAATTGGATGTTATCATTATTACACTTTTATCTGCATATTTATCTGAATTCTATTAATCACGACTTTAAATTAAAGCTTTAAAAATATCTTGAGAATAATTAATCATAGTAAAATCAATCCATGAATAACTTAAAGCCTAAAAAATTAAACGAATCATTTTATTAAACCTCATTGATGAAACTACGATATCGAGCATCACAAATAATTTAGGCTCGAAAAAAGTTTAACTTAAAGTTGGATCAACTTTACTATAACTTCTGAACAGAACGTTTATGAATCATTTAGAAAAATATCACCGATGTTTATATGGTCATTATTAGAATGGGTGTGAAAGTATTAAACTGATTTGTGAGATCTGACAGACTACTTCAGCTATCAGTTCACGTCGCAAACGAGAAATACACCAGAACAGAGCAGTTGTCCAGCATTCATTGGTTCTCAATGTGGCACCCCAGAGTATATTTCTCAGTAGTCTGCAAAATCAAACATAAGTAGAACAGATATTTGCTATCTCTATTTAATTTTGTCGGTAAAGAAATCTCAGATACAGGAAAAACGGTACAAGGTTTACTTTCCTTTTAATTTCCGTCATCCATTATTCGATTTTTGATTATTTCTAAAGAAACATGAGGGATTAATTTTTCAAAGAAAAAAAAGTAATAATTATTTATTTACTTTTAACTTATTCACTCTCTTGTTTATAATAATATGAAACAAAATATATTTTTTTCCAATAAATAAATTGTACTTCTTTTATTTTTTGTTAAAAAAATTCAAATTTAAATTCAACAGTTAAGTGATAACAAAAAAAATTAAAACAATCAGTGCATATGTGTGATAATTTTCATTGAAAAGTATCTAGTTAAATGTAGATTCTTAAAAATTAAAACAGCTGTGTAAACACCTGGTGTATTGAGTGTTATATTCTTGACTTTTATAAAAAAACACAAGTTGTATCGAGAAAAAAAAATAAACAATTGAAGTTATAGTAACAAAGCAACAAATAAGTATTATATCTTAGTAATAGAAAGTAAAATTTAGTTTTCAAATAAAATACTTCTACTATTACTATTGTAAATATATCAAATGTATATTTTTTGATGGTATTTAATGTTATTATGTAGTTGAAAATATGCACAATCCTATATAATGCTATTTTTAGTATAAATTCATAGATAACGATTGGTAATATAAACGAAAATATTTATTTCTAATCCTTCTAAACAGCAGTGTGGTTTACTTCTTCATTTCGAATGATATTCTCTAATATTGAACAATGCTCATTGTAAATAAAATATAACAATAATTATCATAAAATTTTGACTTTTTTGCTATTCATCTGGTTAATTTCATCACGTTGGTATAGTGCAGTCAGTGTATTTAAATACATACATATACTTGGGATTAATGCTTATACTAAGCATTAAGTGACGGATACAATTGATATTCCGATGATGACACTATTTATGTATTTACATTATATAATTAAATTAAACAGTGTTAGCACATAAGTATTATATTGTAAACAATAGAAAAATTCTGTTTATAAATTGGTATCTATTGAAAACGGAGCAGTTTAAATTTTGATACATTAGACATATTACAACTTGATGTAAAAATTACTCGTCTAGAAAATAACCAACTAACTAATTTAATAGATGAAATTAATAAAGACTGAGTAAAAGTCATATCAAATAAATGCAAAATTTTAACGAAGTTATATGGAAAACTGTAATAATTTGTAATTTGATTTTATACTCAGCTTAACAAGACGCAAGTAATTGAATACTATACGTTTTCAAGGGAAGTTAGTTGATGTGCAAAATAAAGTGTATATTTCATTAATTTGAAAGTTGTTTGAATCAGATAAAAAAAAAAGGGAAAATGTATAGAACTTTTCAAAATTCATTAACAATGAATAATTAATTTTTTCATTCTAAGTAGAATTTGCCCACCCACCAACTCGTGAGCCGAAACCAAACCAAGAACTATTGGTTTCGCGCGCATACACTCAACCTCTTAATCACTGAGCCGTTTATCCAACGATATTTCGCCATCTCATCGATTGTATTTGGTGGGCAATATCTAGATAACATACATTTTCAAATATACATATCTACATTAGAAACTTAATTGTAGTTCTGTTAAATTTATTTATTTCAGAGAAGTAAAATATTTCAATATGTTAGCGTTACTGTATATACACATTTAATGTTGTGTAAAACATAATCACATTCCTTGAAATAATATCACTTTATGAATAGTTTAGCATACTTTTTTTATTTTCCCATTAACATGTTCAAATTTTAATAAACAACTTCATTGTTCAATAGCAGTAAATTTCTTAATTGTGATCATATGCATTGTATACTTTTAAAAAGTCAACATAAATAGTAACTGAACAAAAAATTTATTTTTCTTATTTCAACACACAACTAAATATAATAAAATATTCATTTAAAATATGCTTTTTTTTCAAATTGTAAATATTTTAGTTGACTTTCAACTGATGCATATATATATATATATGTTTATATATGGATATACAAACTCTTATACATATTATACCTACAAATGAATATAAAAATTTGTACAATCATGTGAATATGTTGATATTCACACAAAGTTATTATCAAATATACATGTCAATTTAATTTTGCTTACAATTTTTACTTTTAAGTTAAAAAAATTGAATTGAATAAATTTCATGACATATAGCAGTCAGTTGGTTTTATAATTCATTAAAAAATTACATAAAAAATATCATTTATGTCACACAGATAATATCTAAATATTTTAAAATTACCTACAATTTCTGAAAAATATATGTATATATAAATCAAATTGTGAACGTAAAATAATTGAAGCTGATCTAATGACAATGTCATTAGAATTTAATCTCATTTCCGGACAAAAAATTTACACACACACACACACATGCAAATACTTATTTATAATTTGGGCTGAATTCATTGTTTGAGTATGACATAGAGTAAATTTATTCTTGAAAATTAGTCGAACATTTTTTCACGAATGTTGTTGAAGGCAGGTGAAAATGTTTTACTTAAATAATAAAACCACAAGGTCTTAAAATGATGATTGGACGAAATGAATAGTATGACATGTGTGAAAACTGATAACTTTCAATAAAATCACAAACTGATGTAAGTCAAGCAATCACTGAAAACCTGAAAGCACTAGAAGGCTATTTTATCATAGTACGAGGCTACCGCATTAGTGCACATCTATGAACCAACCAATGGAATAAGAACTCAAGACCTTCAGTTTTCCAAAGTGGAGGATCAACTTAAGTTAGACTTGTATACCATTGGATCTCACCACAGTGATCTAAAGACTATGTTTAGGTTTTAAAGACACGAACTCCTTGGTTTTATAGCTAATAGTGAGGCCTTAGGCGCTTATACCAGTGCGAAAGGTCTGTTCATTGCTTCCAGGTTTTTAGTGGTTTACTAACTTAGATCTAATCACAATCACAATTAAACCCCTTGAATATTTTACAACTAATTTTACTACATATATATATATATATATATATATATATATATATATATATATATACTTTAATATAGAGGATAAAACATACATAGGTATCAACTTGATCAGTATATTTCACACAATTTCACAAAATCAAATTGACGGAAAAATCGGAAAACAATTCTCCAAATCACAAATCAATGTCAACAATCAGCAGAAAAATCAAACAGATAACTTCATATCGATAAAAACAGAATCATTTATTGATGGAAATAAGTAAACTATAGACAAACTACCTCTGTTACACTATGCATGTTCTTCATTCTTTTTTAGTTGTATGCTATTGACAGCTTTTTCCCCAATATATAAGATTTAATTACTAACTAAATTGAATGAAAGATAAAAAAAAACATGTAAAGATAAAGCGTTTTTAAGTTTTTGCAAAGACTCTTAGCACAGCTTGAGTTGGATAATCATTGACTGTTTTGTGTTCCTTGTTTTGTTATCCAACATTATTTATTATTTTTTGTTAACTAACAAATATTTCAGTGTTTACGGACAGGTTTATAAAAGATAGTTTAAATGGTCTAAAATATTCAAACATCTAATTGCTGTCCTGTATCCTGAAGTTAATTCAGTATGGTTTTCTAGACTTAGTATCATGGAGGTACTTGAATTCAGAATGTTAACTAATATACACTGAACAGTCCAGATGTATGCTTTGGAATGTAAAATTGATGAATTTGCTCATATATTATTTGATAAACAGGATTTTCAACTGTAATGTGAATGACTTCGAGACTAATCGTGGATAATATGCAATCAACAGGAAAATGATTTTTTTCCGGAAATTGAAATGCTGATGTAACCTCAAGATTGATCTGATATTAGAGGACAAAACAGATCCACAATAGAATAGATTATCCTTCATAACAAAATAACAAGCTCATATACAAAATATTAAGCAGAAAAGTAAACGCAACAAATAAAAAAACATTAAGGATATGAAAATCATAGATCATTCGCTCTCCAAATCAATTCACGCTTATAAAAAAGTAATTCATGTCCTTCTGTCATATTAATTACGCCACAAATATAATGTTAAGAATCATCGACAAAAAACGTACGTTTTAAATACACACGAATAAAATCTGAACAGCAGACTCAATTTACAATTTGAAACGTGAATTTATTTGTAAAAATAACATAAAAGTGTTTATAAAAACCGTTGCATAAGTGAAAATACTATTTAACTACAAGAAAATGCATATTATTTCTTTATAATCTAGTTGTATATATAAGAGGACTGTTTATAATCCTAAACAAAATAAGGTTGTGAACATTTCTAGATTGAAAATAATATTTTTAATAGATAACAATATTCTAGTTAATTTGTAACAATCGACTTTAAGTCTCTTAATGACATACTAGTATTTAATTATACTAAATGCAACATAATGTCAATAAAACAGTTTGATGATGCGGATTAAATCGTAAGATTAAGCATACTCAGTAGTAAACAAACAATCTCATGAAAATAAAATAACCTAACACAATATATTTCACGAAGACTAATCAAAATGTATAGTGTTGGTAGCAGAAATATAACTCAACATTTTCACTTCAGATCTAGTTCATTGGAGTTGCTATTTATTTCATTTTATGAGATGATATTAACTCAATTAAATGATTTTTGTAAATCAAACGAAATTTTTTACAGCTACTTTTTATTTTAAGAGACATCTTTTTGATAGGTGCGTACAATAACAACTATGTGAACATAATTCAACTCAGATTATCCTTATGTTACCAGAGGTTAACAATATCAGTGCTTAGGTTGTTCCCAAAATTTTTAATTTTCAATACAGCTGCTATAATCAACACTTTGGTCATATTTCCATTTATTTGATCAGTAAGTATTGTATTCTGGGATTTGAATTTTCACCAGCTTTTAGTTTAAGGATTATAGTGTTATCCACAATAATCTGTTATAAGCACATCAGTGTAGCTCAGTTCACTTATTAGACTGAACAAAAAAAAAGCAATCATGATGAAAATCGGGACTACAGAAATTTTAATACTTCACTTCCATCTGAAGTTTGTGCTGATGATGTTATTCTGAAGAACAATGAAAGCTTCACAATCAAAACATCTAGCTCAGAGAACTAAACACCACCACAAAATTCGGGACTCAAAATGAAATCTCTAATGAACATTACACACTGACATTAACGTTCTTACTTTAGATCTGATTGTATCAAGATGTATCATTTAAAAGTTTTATATCAATCTCATAATGTGAATACTGATGCAAAACTATTTGACAAAAATAATGCATCCGTATGATATTTCTTTATCTTTTTAATAATCCCATAATTTATATCAATTTGTGATGATGAAGTCCATTTGAAAAGTCAAAAAAACATTGTTAAAATCTTACAATATAACAAATCGAAGAGAATGACATTTAAAAGATTTAAAAAAAAATTCTTATCTTTTTTGCTTCATCTTCTTCCATATACTGCACTTGAATGTATATATAAACAAAAACAGTGAATCTTTTTTGCTTTAAGTAAAGGAAGAAAAATATTATAAGTGTGTTTTCAAAAAGTTTTAATAATAAGAATGACAACAACAATAAGTTAAACATGGACATACATACACTTGTGTAGCTAAATACATAAATAGAAATTTTAAAAATAGCGTAAAAAATATATCCTTTTTCCATCCATATGTTAACATAATTAAGATATTTATCTTAACTTCCTTTGTAAAGAGAAAATCTACTTTCACTTTAGGAAGCAATAAAACATTGAAATGAACAAGGAAAAAAAATTAAAAATAAAAACAGAATTAATTAATAAACAATTTAAATAACATTTTAATTACAATCTAATAAATTGAATTTATACATCGAAAAAAAATTGTGTTAAGAAGAAATTTCCATTTTGTTTTTTTTTTAGATTTTCTATTTTTTTATAATCTAATGTTGTAATGCTGTAATTACAATTATGACCTGAAAATATATTGCGGAGAAAATAAAAATCCAGCGTAAGTAATAATAATACATTGCAGCACGACAGATACAGTTTATCGGTTGTTTTTTTTTTAAAAAAAAATACTTTGGACACATATTACTTCCTCACTAGTAGTAACATGTTCACATTGAAAAAAAGTCGTCATAATAATTCCATGTAAACCTACGTGGAAATTAATGCGTGTGTGTGTTGGTATGTAGAGAAAAAAAATTAGAAAATATGTGGAAAATACTGACAATGTGTGAATCTGTGACCATAACGATACAACAACACAAACGGATTTCACTTGATAACATACAAGGTCATAGGAGAGAAAGTGCAATCACCTGAAAATAATATACATTAGTTTGTATGGACGAGTTTTGATTATTTATGATACATACCGACAACCATCAAATATTACTGTTATATTCTAGATATAATGAGTAACAATTTTTTGCCAATAACATATAATATCTATATCTGTAAGAAACTAATAAACAAATGAATTACTCTTTGTTTAGGCTGTTGATAATCTCATTTCTTTCATTTTTTTTTCAAATTCCAAAACTAATTAAATTATTTTATTTTGTTCTTAAGGGAATTAGAAAAAAAATATATAAGTGTATTCTGTAGACACAGAGAACTTTTAAAATGGAAAAGATTTAATTATAAAATAAAATATTTTATAGAAAAATATATTCTAAAATGTAATAAAATTACATCAATTTGTAAAATAATTAAATCTAAATGTGTAATTATATTTTCATTGCAATAAAATCTAAATAATAATAATAGCAATAATTATTTATGAAGTTGAAAATATTTACCTGTGATTTAATACTTGATATGATCAAATCCAAATTTGGATGAATACATTGTTTTGAACTGGCAGAAAATGCAAGCGATAATTGTCCAGCATATGTTGTATAAGTGACACTTAAATCACGACAAACATGTACAACAGTTTCATTGGAAGCAGATTTATTAACTCCATTGTCTAATACAGCTAAATGACTGTTTGAAATAAATTGCGATGGCCTATTCACTGGCGAAGGCATCCAAGTATCAATACGAATAATAGGACAACCAGCTATATACATAATTCCAGCATTGGCATTCACTAAATGTCGAGCTAATGCACGAAAACTTGTTCCTAAACGAGGTGGATAAACTGCTGATGTCGCTGTTGTTGTTCCACGTGAAAGACGTTTTCTTAATCTTTGACGAAGTATACGAGCATCTGAAGATTTACTAGCTAATAGGGACATATATGCTAAACGTCTTGATTTAGGCATTTGATATGAATAATTGGAATCAGTTATTTTTGACGAACTTGCACTAGTTGTAGTTGTAGTTGTTGTAAACGGTGATATAACTTCAACACCAGTTATAGTTACACTGGATTTTGCTGGTCCACCATATGTTGTTTCAATCCATTTCGCTACAGAATGTGGCATTAAAGTATATAATGCTGTACGTGCCCATGCTAAACATAAAGAATCAACTGATGTATTTAATTCAGTTAAACGTTGTTTAGTTTCCCATAATCTAGGTAACATACCTTCTGTGTTAATTGGTAAACAAAATTCAGTTAATACACTTCTGCCTGGGCATAAATTTCGTGTTGTTGTTATTTTTGTAGCGGTGTTTGTGGTTGGTGAACTTAAAGCTACCATTCGATTTGTATTTCCTAATAAACCAGTTTCAACGGTATTATTATCATGATGTATTCGTTGTTGTTGTTGTTGACGCCAAGGAGAAATGTGCAAAAAATCAAGATTATTTGTCCTAACTCTTTGAGTTATATTTAAAACACGTGATAAAGTTGTACATGGTGGATCTTCATTGTTGTTACAATTGGAAATAGATACTGATGAAGTAGTCAGATGACAACTTGGTAAAACAGGCACTTCAGTTGATAAAAATGCTAATAAATCAGGAGGATGTTTAAATCCCATTGTCTTGCAAAAAAAAATATAACAGAAAAACATCTTAAAAAGTATACAATTTACTAATCATAATAATAATAACAGTTATATCCATTATAAAGCTTTATCAGTTGAGAACATATAGCTTTCTAAACTTTTTGCAAAGTACAAACAATCAACGCAGATGAATTCCAGTAACACAGAAAAAGAAAACTAAAACTGTTGCATTTTGAGGTGGTCAAAAGTCCCTTAGATAATTTTAAGACAACTCAAAAACACTGGTAATCGGTTATTTTTTAAGTAAAACCAATTATGGATTGTAGAAAATTTTCTACTGAGAATGAACGTACAATGATTAAAACGTGACTCAAAAAGTTGGAACTTTAGGCAGTAAACCTCGATCAGCTTAGTGAATAACATATATCCTCTCAAGCCAATACTGGTAGTTTAATTTTACTGGGGAAATTTGAGTAAGGATGTGATATGCTCGCTAATTTGATATGCTTGCAGCTTTTGCGAGTTCACCATATTCCGTAAGCGAAGCGAAATCAATGATTCAGCGACACGATAGGCTACTCTAATCCAATCGTCCCAGGCCTTACTAAATAAAGAAAGAAGTCTTGATAAGACGCAAGGAATGTATTCCACAGGCAACCAGAAAGCAGGAGGTCCACAAGCACACAACGTGAGCTTATTTATATAATGATAAGACGCACTTGGTGAGAGCCACACAATAGCGTACTGCAATAATCTGTCAACCAATGACAGTCAAGGATTTCAGAGTTGGAAATGTAAGCTGAAGGTCAACTAAGAGTCTTTAGCGAGAAAATATAATGAATTCAAAATTTCAGAAATAAATTACAAAATTAGGACCTTTTTCAAGTGAGCTTTTGGGATCTAACGTCTTCCCAACAGGATGAAAGTGAACTAAATTGTAGCTAACTAACAGATTGATAACAGTCATCATTACTTTTTAAGCATTTGGTAAACTTGATTATTATTGATTATTACTTGTTTTTCACTAAAACTCAATAGAATATGGAATGTAATCGTTAAAAAATAATGACAAATAAGGATCAGCAAAGTACTTGATCTAACAGTTGTTAATCACTTTAGATTTATATACTATGCTTCAAAAATAGAGAAATTAATAAAACCGTACAAGTTTAAAAGTATTATAAGAGTGTATCAAGAATTTTGTGTGACAATTTCATTTATATGAATGTTTATCTATTCTTTGTAAGCTGAACACATCTGAAAACCAAAAAATCTAAATAAGTATAAGAAAACAAACAGAGATTTGTGTTGATCCCAAAAGAGACACTTGCATTTTTATTGAGCAGTATGTTTACAATCAATGGTAGGTTTCCTATTCTTCATGGGCATAACACATATATTAAACTTATTTGATTTCATCAATGCTCACAAAGTGAAAGAAATAAAGGGAAAAAAATAAAACGTCTGAAATAAACTTACTCATTGAAGTGTTACAGGAATACTTTAAAATATAACTGGAAGACATTTGATCTTTAAGTTTTTAGTTCGAAAATTGAACAACTGTATGGTTCTATGAGTTATTTCTGCTCATTATTTGTAATTGAGTTGGAATTTGTTGGATCAACTACATTATTGTTTATTAGTTCAATATCTCTAGAAAGTAATTGTTTAAAAGTTTACTCCTTATTGTGTCAATCCAGTTTTACGTTAGGTATCTTATTCCAGGATTTGGTTTTTATTTAAAATGAATAAAAATTTGTCATCAAATGTTGATTATTACTCTTATTATATTAGCTTTAATGATTGAATTTTCGGGTAAAGATTAAACTTTTGAGCATAATCTAATGGTCACTGCAACAAATAAACACAATATTTTTCTACAAAACAATTATCCATATAATTCGACAAGAAGTTGTGTATTTCACATCATGGAATTTAATTTATTTACGTACAGTGTTTGAAAAGGCTTTTTTTCGTACAAATAAACTAGATATTAAAGGATAGAAGTGTCAATTTATTCTCAAACATAATAATAAATTAATTTTTAACCGATAAAATAAGCATTTCAGGAGAATCCTAGTCATCGTTAGTCAATAAACCAGATAGCTGATGATGAGATAATTTCCTCTTGAGACTATGAACACTGAGTAATACTGTGTAACATGTAGTTTGATATATTGAAATAATGTTTCTTCCAGTCGAATTTACTCGCAAAAAGTGTTTGTAATTTGTGTCATGCGTCATTTTGTTGTTCAATGTAATACAGATCTTTTATATTGTGAAAAAGAAATATTTGGTAATGTGCTTATATACAGTAGATAATATACTAGTTGCATATAATTAAAAGTTATTAAGAAATATTTCTGTTAAAAATTAACTCTTTAAGAAGCAAGAAGGCTAAACAATTAAAGAGTACATTTTTGATGTTTACTGATTCAAAAATCAGAATTTTTAATAAAAAGTCAAGACATTCCTACAGTATAGGTGGGAAACTTGGAGAACTACCAAGGCCATCATCCATAAGAAACAAGTATTCATTAACCGTTGTCTACGCAAAATACTTCGCATCCGTCGGCCAGACACCATTAGCACCAACCTACTGTGGGAAAGAAGAAACCATATTCTAGATGAGGAGGAAATCAGGAAGAAGTGGTGGAAGTGGATAAGGACACACATCGTGAAAAGCACCCAACTGAGTCAAAACACAAGCCCTCACATGAAATCCTCAGGAACAAAGGAACAAATGACGGCCGAGGAACAAATTACGCCGAGAAATGTAGACAGACGTGAGAAGAATAAAAAAAATGGTCAGAACTTGAAAGAGAAGCCCAGGACAGAGTAGGTCGGAGAACACTGGTCGGTGGCCTATGCTCCATTTGGAGGTGACAGATATAAGTAAGTATTCAAAAAAGTAAATGCTTTGAATCAAAGAATCAATCTATTTTGAAAATTATATCCAATATATTCTTATCAAAAATAAAATTAAATAATCATTGACCATGTAATAAAGAGAATAAAAGGAAACAATCCTTAAATGAAAAGAGTTGTGCAAAGAAATAATAATAGTAATCTCACCTGATGATAACCACGTAATGCTCCAGCTAATAAACTTAAAATTAATTCTGAATAAGAAGCTTTAGTAATTTGACGTAGACGACTCAATTTTGATAATGATAATAAGGCACACTTGTGAACAATTTTAATATCTTCATTACTATTATTATTATTATTACCATTATTGGTAATTTGATTATTTTTATTATTTGTTAATTTAAATTGTTTTGTATTTTGATACTTTGTAATTAAACCCATATCAGCATTAGTAATAAAATATTTATGAAAAATAATAGTTGGTCCAGTAATCAATACTCTGATTATATCACAAACAGTAGCTATGGTAGCTAATGAACTAGCCCAAAATGTATACCACCATTGTGCAGCTTCAGATTCGTCTGAATCTTCATCATCTAACAATGAATTGGTAATTGAAGTGGTTGTTGTTGTTGTTTTAATGGAAGAACTTGTTGATACATTATTCGAGATTGATTCATTTTGATTAGATTTGGATTTCTCAGATGGATGTTTACTATCTGTGATATTTGAAATATTTGATTGAGATGGTTCTTCATTTAATAGTATAGTTTTAGATAATTCACGTGAATGATAAAAGGATGCTGAATTATATGGTGAAGTAGAATTACCAGATGATACAATTGTAGTAGGCCATTTAGACTCGTTTTTGTTGTATGTAGATGAAGCTAGTTAGTTAATTTTTTTAACAAACAAATATACAAAAAGAAAATAATATTATTAGAATGTATATTGGATTGTTAGTAATAAACATCTCTAGCTACTTGATAGAATGAAGTTCATTTTTAGCTCAAACAGTTTGTGATTGATCAAGTGAAATGATCACTATTGTACACAAATAATCAAAGTGAAAATAATAAAAAATTGCTAACTTATTTTGATATGCTTTGAACAATGAAAACTTAGGTCGTATCATAATGAGCTACTTAAAGGGATTAACCGGATCGATATGCGAATAAAATCATAGTAACTGATTTCCTTTGTCGGTTTTGAAATAGTGCTATTAATATGAAAGTTAAAAACGTAATCCCTTAATAACGAAGGCCATAGTCAACCTTTAAAAGACTGAAAAATTTAAAATGATCTACCACTATTCAGTATTCAACACTCAATGGTGTCCCATTTGGGACTACCGCCGGTCCTAAGCATGAATAAAAGAGGGTGATAAGAAAATTGGTCATAGGCGGCACAAGATTCCTACAAAAACGCATACACAAAGACGCATGGGTTTCACCGGATCACACTACACAGAACCAAATCGACTATATCTGTATCAATAAAAAGTTCAGGAGGACGTTGACGGACATGAGAACGAAGAGAGGAGCTTATATGGCCTCAGATAACTATTTGCTGGTCGCCGAAATGAAACTAAAACTCAAGAAGCACTGGACAGTGGGGCGGACAACATCATAAAGATTTAATAAGCCGTTTCTCCAGGATACTGGCAAACTCAAAAAATTCAATATAGCCCTCAGCAATAGTTTCCAAGCCTTGCACGATCTACTCATTCGAAAGGAAACAACTATGGAAAACAACTGGAAAGGGGTCAAGGAGTTGATCACTCCAGTGTAGACGAATGATCGAGTTTGTGATGAAATAAATCTTCGTTTCCACTTCCTCATAATATGCATAGGCTAACCCCGTTCGTGAGATGATGATATTAAAAAGCCAAATACGGTTTCTCGGATGAATTTATTTCATGCAGGCATCACCATGTGATCAAAAAATAATAGACTGGAAATCTAGAACAAAATGTTATTAAAAAATCCACTATCCTTATGATAAACAACTTATATTATTAAATAAAAACATACTGAGAAAGATGTGAACTAGTCAAACAGTAGGTCAGTCAAATGAAAATTTAACAGATAGCTCATTGATGACATTTATTGACGGAGCAACTGTATAGTGAAATATATGAAGCCAAGTATGTGAAAAACTGTAATTTAGCTTAATGACTAGTTAAATTTAATATGAAGTTTTTCAAATTCAAATAATGATGGAGTAAAATATCAAAATTATAACAATGCATATTACATGACCTTTTCAAACTTGCAACACCATCAACATCTAGCAGTAATTACAGATTTATATAATTTTATTCAAAATACTGAGTTATTAATTTAGTTTGTACTTGATATTTCATAACTGAAACTATATTCAATAATGGTATATAAAATCTAGCAACTGCTTTCGTATTCATTTTAGCCCATAATCATTCGTACTATCCATTTACACATTCCGATAAAAGTTTTACATTTGTTCATACATTTGAAATGATTAAAAAACTGACTATCTTTAAAATTCATTTAAGTTATCATGTAAAAGCTACAGGAAAAAAAAAACACTATTTCATTATAATTTTAAAATGGGTAGAGTGGTGGCTAAGCAGCATTTAAACCATATGTTCATATACACATGAATAAATATTACTATTTTCATCAACAACTAAATCATAGCACATAACATTTCTTCTTGAAATATCTTCTCTCCTTCTATTTTAATATATATATCATTAAGTTCTGCAAACTTTTTATATGCTGCTCAGCTTACTTATCAACCTTATTTATAATGCTCTTAACTACATTCTTTGTATTTTAACAAAAAAAAACAAACAAACAGGAGAACATATGAATGCGATTATTGACTTTTTATCGCATTCACCTAAAAACAAATTTTGACGATAACAAACCATCTGATAACGAAAAAGGACAGTATGATGATTGTGATGACGACGATAACGAAAATAACAACGGAAAAAAGCGATCGAACAAGTGTAAATGTAAAATCTACTTACAGATGGATATATATATATATATATATATATACTCTGCATATCAATAAAAAGATCACCTGTTATATGTCTATTTGTAAGTCTTTTTTTTCTAAAAATTTGTAACTTAAGAAAGTATTTTCTATTTTTGAAAGAAAAAGAGAAAGAGTGGAAGCAGAAAAGGAAAAGAAAGCTAACACTTAGGTTTGAGATATTTTTACTATATCTTAATCTTATTTTATTCTGTTGAGCTAATTATCATTGAAGAATTATGAAAATCAACAAACGATTTAATTCATAAGAATGAATTATTATTATTATTATTTTATGCATCTGTTGTAGAAAAAAATTATCAATGAAAATTCAGGTAATTTTATAGTGAGCTGTGAACATTTTATATATGGAACAGATTAAACTATGCTAGTAATGCAATCGAACACATTTTATTTATTTTATCTGTTGCCGAAATATATTTGCATTCCAGTGTTAATGTTTGCATCAGGACAAAAGTCTTGCACATTTTATTACTGACGCCTAACGCAATATCCACTGAGCTACTGAATGCTGACAGCTTGAGAAACAGATATGATTTTTCTTATCATTGTTATCACTACGAATATTTCATGAAATAGACAATAATAATAATTAGACTTAAAATAAAAGTTCTGACCAACAATTCATAGGCATAACTTGAATATTTAACTGGGGATCATGAACTATCCAACAAAGACCGTTAGAAAAATTTTAGTAAATTTTTATTTTCAAAATATGCTATTTATTTATTTGTTTAAGTATATTTAATACGAATCTAAAATAATTTTTCAACTTTGTATAATCAAAAAAAAAACTATAACAATCACATTATGCGCTTGAAACCTGTTTGCAAATCACAATGATCAACTAATGTCAATGGAATAATGATACAAAGTGTTTTCCTTCTAATTGCTTTAGATATCACTATGTATATGCTAAGGAGACTCCAGATTATCTAGTTTTTCATTTATAATGTATTAGTTAAATAACGACAGATTCCTTATTGTATCATTGAAAGAGAAAACAGACAATTAAGTGAAAATAATTTCCTTGTTTAATGTAATTTAATGTAAGACTGAACATTACTGTCCATTTGATGGATTTTAGAAACAGAATAATAAAGGTTGTATTGATGGTTGATTAATATCCTCAACTCTGTAATAATTAATGTCTGTGAATTTAATTGAAAACGAGTAGAAATAAAAAGCAACAGATCATGGAAAGTAGAAAAGAAGGTTACAATCATGGTAGATTGACTGTTGGTGTTTTTTATGGTGTCAAATTGAAATACTTTACTAAATTTACCAACTATTTATCTGAATTCTCCATAATGATTAATGAGAATTGAAAACTAACTATAGTTACACGTCAATGTAAGTTATTTTCAACTACTTATAATGTTTATCAGTAGTCTACGTTAATACAGTTGTATTTCTATCTAGTGTGAGCAAAGATACTCAACAATATAATGAGATTAATTAGTTTGAAGCTTAGCAACTGAATATGCTTCAAAATTTCTTGAAAATTAACGGTGAAGCCTTTATATGGAAGTGATTTACTTTCAACCACTGGTCATTTCATATGAAATAGAAAAAAAGTGACACTGTACTTTGCCAATTTTTCGATTTGAAGGAGGAAAGTAGAATTATACTTAAACTTTGTAGTTTGAAAGTTACCCATTTATCCAACAACAGAGGTTTTTATTCAAAACATACGCCTTTTATAAACATCAAGTTTTTAATTATAGAAATTGAAATGATTCTTTCTAGGATTTCAGTTTGTTAGTTGATACAGAAGTAAAACAAAGACACTGATTTCTGCTTTATACAATATTTTGATTTTTAACAGCTTATTCATTGTTCTTGATTTCTTATTGTTCTGTTATATAAGCTTTAACCATATTGATTCTATTAAGTGATGTGTGAAAATTTAGTTAGTTGGGAAATAGGATAAACATTTTACATTGATAAAACTTATATTATCACGAGAACTAGTCGATTTCAATCACCTAAACACACAATAATTGATTGCTGCTAATCTTCAACCAGAATGTTAATTCGTAGGTTGCATTTTGTATTGATTTCATGATGTGCAATATACTATAAACGGTATTAAAATTAAAATGAAGTGTACAATGATTATAGTTTCTTTGTTGGGGAAATTGTTAAAAAAATCTAAATATTAGCAGATGAAAAGTCAAATAATTTACTTTCCACTTGACTGATAAAATTCGAAAAACAATATGAAGACATTTTCGTCACCACTCAGTGAATAAGTAACAGTAAATAGTCAGTCAGTCAGATGCAACGTAGAACTTCGTACTTAAGTACATCAGTTCATGTCGCCATACCACATCAACACAGAAATATAATTGTCAATTCAAATCCAATAGTAGAAGAGGTAGTAAAGGTATTAGAAGTAATCGGAGAGGTTAGGATTAGAAGATATTATTCAAGAAGTATGATTCAGTGAGAAAAGTTTAGAAAGTCAAAACTAGAGGTGTTGAAGAATCCAGAAGATTATGATTTGAGAGAACACAAAGCATAAATGCACCGGCTCCACTGCGAACGATTTTGAGCCATGTCATTCAAGGTCTCTAACCATCGATTATTATCATCTCGCGGACCCCAACCAGGTAGTCGACAATTACCGACATGGCTAAGTCCACTAGTCAATGACTTCATGGATTTGTGCCATGTTTTGGTTTGGCCGCCCCTAGCTTTCTTCCAACCTACTCTTACACTACAAAACAAAGTTCGTCGAGGCAGTCGGTGGTTAGGCATACGCAACACATGTCCCAACCACCTCAATTGATGAAGTTTCACCACTTCATCGATTGATCTGCCATCCTTGCCTAGCACC